TATGTGTCTGTAGTTTTAAGCAGCTCTTAAATAAGAATAGATATGAATGTCGCAAAAATGGCTGATTTGCGTTTGGCTCCTGATCTGGTCTTTGTTGTGCAAGTTCAAATATCATCATACGACACATTGTAGTATTTTTAAATCCTAGGTTCTGTGGTTTCTTATCTCTTGAACCTTGTTTTCTTTTGGCTTTGATGTATTTTCCCAATTGTACTTCTTCTGCTGGGGGAAAACAAACTTATGGAGAAACAAATAAAGGACACAACTGTGAAAAACTGAGAGAGAAAAAACTCAAATAAAAGCTGTAGCCTACACATGCATCGCCCACGCAACGGTTTTTTACTTTAGCATCATGGTTTCAGTATCTGCCAGTAAAACATGATGGGTTGTAAGTGTCCATGGCAGAGGTCGACTGTTGAGCCAACAGGAGCAGGATGGTGCTGCTAATTTCACTCGGTGCCCTGTTACTGTTGCCTGGATACTGCGTGATTCTAATTAACAGTTTTGCGCTTCACATGCTCTCCTGTTAACCTCCGTTTCCCACACTTGCTAGGCCATTACAGTTTATGGGCCTCATCCGGTGTTGCGACGATACCTAAAGATAAAATTATATTCCTCAAAACCATCGCCTGGAATTGCTCGAACAGCAACGTGCACTGCGTGGTGGGAAGGAGTTCACTTTGTGGGTGGATCTGCCTTTAAGGGTCACGGACTAATGACCTCTGTAGACACCTCTCTCTTGCTTGTTATTTCTCACATTATAACACCACATGATTATTATATAAAAGCGTGCATTTCTTCACTCGTTTTTTTGCAAACTATAAAACTCTGTTATATTTCCTGAAAGCCTGAATGATACCCCCGGGATGGGAGCTCTTTTAGCGATTATGATAGCTGAACTCTCACAGAGTCTGCTCTTTGAAATAAGTCCCCCTCCCCTCTCCAAAAGGCCCCTCACTATGGCTGCTCTTGCAGGCTAATTGGCCTCAGGGTTGACGTGCAGTGTTTACCAGCGGCCCTCTGGGAGCCCGATGAACTGGTAGAGGGGAAGGGGTGCAGAGGATCTTCTACCCATCAGCTCACAGCACGGACCACTACTACTTTATAACTGTCCCCCGCAGCGCCTGGTCGGGACCCAGCCTTTAGCCTCAAGATACAAAATAAATCCTTCTCAGTTCATGTTAGGCCACTTGAACAACACAATACCAGCAAATGCTTGGAAAACAAACTACATGATTGCATACATGAATAATGTAAAGATTGTATTTCCCTGTACAAGATACTAGAAGATTAGCTCACTTGTCAGGGCAGAATAATTGAAAAGTATGCAAGTAGGCACAATTCATACACAATGCTATCAAATCCCTTTTACTTAAAGTATTCAAAACATGTAATATGAAATACTGTAGTGCTTGCGTTTGTTACGAAAGCTTGCTAAGTGCTCCCAACAGAATTGTCTTTGGCGAGTGCACATCAGAGGGGGGTCCTGGAAGAAAAGGTACATTTTACAGTTAAATGCATCACTCTTGTGCTTTTTGAGATCGAAATTAAGAGGCTATGAACACCTTGTGCTCTTCTGAACAACTGCGTCGAAAAATAATCCTACATTTGTTGTATAGATACGAATTCTCAATAAAGTCACAACCACAAAGCAGAGTTTTCTACATTTGAGCCATTCTTTAGAATAACAAAAAAGCTAGTTGTATCGATCAACTCTTCCTACATCCCTATTGGCACATTTTGCCTTTTTTCCCTGGTCTTTGAGGAAAACAGTTCTTATACCCTTTGTAGTTGAGTTTCTCTAGGTGGAATCCATTGATGGACCCCCTCAGGCAGGAGCCAGGTGCTCACCTTGCAGCCTGTTACAAAGGTCTGGTTTGATCTTATAATGAAAGTAACTATAGTAAGCCAGATTAATAAAAGCAAACCGTTTGTACTCTTCTTTTGGAAAAGTTGATGTTCATCATGCTGACGCCATACATGTAAATACAGTACAGGCCAGTGGCGAACCGTGTCTATCACAACTGGACCTTCTGTAGACACACACACCCCCCGCCGCCGACGCCCCCCCCTCCGCGGCATTATAATGTCCGTCTTTTCACTGAATTATCGTCTTGAAAAGGGTACTCACAACAATTCCGCAACAACTTCATCTTCACCTGTTGTCATTTGAACGTTAAAAACAATAAAACGGCATAAATTGCTTTGTCGCATTCATCTAGAATTCTAGATCCTCTGTCTCGAGCCAATTAACTAACGGGCCCTTCTAGAGTACCCTGGAACCGAGGGAAACTCTGAAAGAATACACCCATTGGCTACAAATCAATATATGATTGGTTGATCAAACTGTCAGTCCAAAGGTACGCTCTCATTCAGTGCAACGGCCAGGGCATTCGATCAAGGATGTAGAATAGCTTGGTTGAAGGATATTCTACCCAGAGACCCAGAACAAGATCTGATTGGTTGCTTTCTTTTCTAACACAAAACCACTGAAATGCGTAGTGCATAGTCCGAGATGGACAAACAAATCAATGTAACATTGTAATATTACAGATCAACAACACAGATACGATTCTCATTTATTCATTTTATATACATTTTATTCATATAATTAAATACATTTTTTGTTTGTTTTATCTGAGTGTTCCAGGGTATTCTCTGAATACCTTGAAGGCCCTGACGGTTCGCCACTGGTACAGGCTAAAGGCATTGAAACGTATTCCTGTGTTGACTCTAAGGTATCATTTTGAGAGCAGGTTATGTTTTCCGGTATGGTTATATTTTCTTGATGCTTGGTTGAATTGGCCCAGGAAGAACCCATTACAGGGCAGAAACACCATTTGTTTTCACATTAGGAACTTTGGCTGGGAGTTGGCACTCTCCTAAGGCCCTTTTACTTTCTTTATGAGATCAAAATAATTGCAAGAAATACATTCATTGCTTTGACTTTACTGAAATAATACAATACAATTCAAGTAAGGACAGTTACATGAAATATGTTGAGTTTACATTTGAGTTTGTATGTCTTTAATCCAAGTGTTTTTAACTAAATGGCCTTTACTGTAAGTGCAACGGGTTAACGGTTTGTTACATATCATGGCAGCTTCAGTCATACTGCCATGTCCTCAGTCCTCATCATTGTTGAGAAGTCCATCTCACGCTTGACTCTTGACACCGGAATGACTAATGGGTAGATCTGTCCACACTTATCGCACGCACTGGGTCATTATTTCTGCTTGGTTCTGGTGCCAGAGAAACATTTTAGAGATGTGAACTTATAGTGGTTATAATGCTGTACATGTTGGTGTCTTCAGATTTAATTGAATCATTACTCTTAAATGACCATATACAGAATAAAAAAAGTAGGTCGATTTGGGGTTTTTGATACAGCTGCAAAATAATGACTTATTGTGATAATTCGATACATTTCTAATAAGGATGCATGTGTTGCTTAAAAGAATCTCCCTCCTGGAGTTTCAAGGTCTTCTTTCCAGGGAGAAACCTTTGAGTTAGCACTTAGTTGGCATACAGGGAACTGCTTTAGGCTGGTTTAGGTCCTATCTATCTGAACGCTCTCAGTTTGTACGTGTCAATGATGAATCTTCCACGCAAACCAAAGTTAGCCATGGAGTGCCACAGGGCTCAGTGCTCGGACCTATTTTGTTCACATTATATATGCTTCCGTTAGGCAATATTATAAGGAATCATTCTGTACATTTTCATTGTTATGCGGATGATACTCAACTATATTTATCAATCAAGCCTGATGAAATTAATCATCTAAATAAAATTCAAGACTGCCTCAAGGACTTAAAAACGTGGATGACCTTAAACTTTTTGATGTTAAACACGACCAAAACTGAAGTTATTGTACTTGGCCCGAAGAATCTACAAAACAAATTATCTAAAGATATACTAACTATGGATGGCATTAATTTGGCCTCCAGTGAGACTGTAAGGAATCTTGGTGTTATATTTGATCAGGATTTATCCTTTAACGCCCACATAAAATCAATTTCAAGGACCGCCTACTTCCATCTACGTAACATTGCAAAAATCAGGCATATCTTGCCTCAAAACGATGCAGAGAAACTAGTCCATGCATTTGTTACTTCAAGGCTGGATTATTGTAACTCTTTATTATCAGGGTGTACCAAGAAGTCAGTCAAGTCGCTTCAGCTGATTCAAAAATGCTGCAGCTCGTGTACTAACCAGAGTTAGGAAAAGGGACCACATTACTCCTGTTCTGGCTGCCTTACACAGGCTCCCTATAGAACACAGGATAGAATTTTAAATGATTCTTCTCGCCTACAAAGCCCTTAATGGGCAGGCGCCATCTTACCTTAAAGAACTCATTATACCCTACTGTCCTACTAGGGCATTGCGTTCCAAGAATGCAGGGTTGTTGGTTGTTCCTAGAGTCTCTAAAAGTACAATGGGAGCCAGAGCCTTTTCTTATCAAGCTCCACATTTGTGGAATCAGCTTCCAGTTTGTGTTCGGGCGGCAGACACCCTATCCGTTTTTAAGAGTGCGCTTAAGACCTTCCTTTTTGATAAAGCTTATAGTTAGGGCTGATTAGATTCAGCCCCTAGTTTTGCTGATATACACACTAAAAAATGCTGGGTTAAAAACAACCCAATTTGGGTCGTTTTTTAACCCAACGCCAGGATCAATATTGGACCAACCCAGCAGTAGTTAATTTGACCCAACGAAATGGGTTGCGTATTTTAACCCAGCAGATGGGTTATACATTTAATCCAAATGCTGGGTCAAATTAATTACAGCCCTGGGTTAATTCTACCATGAATTGGGTTAAATATTACACCCAATGCTGGGTCATAATAGCTGCGATGGGTTAATTCTACAAGTTATTATCGTCATGTTTTTAATGCAATACCCATGTCTCTTAAACATTTAAATTACAAACCCTTTTAAAATGCATCCTATATTTGGTCATGCAAATAATATAATATGCAATAAACGTTTTTAAACAATGTTGGAATCTTAGAAAAATATTCATTTTATTGTTATAACAATTGACAGTTCAATAAAGTGCAAACATATTCAGTTCACAATAAAGTGCAAAACTTTCTTTAAACAAAACTTGACATTTATGCATGTACAGTACAGCCTGTAAACAACACACATTAGCAGATCTACAAGCTCTGGTTTGAGAACCACTAATAGCAACATACGTTTTTTCAGAAATGACTGGTTCATATACTGGCTATGTAAACGTTACAAAGAAAATCCTCCAACATGATCACAACAATGTACTGCTCCTTTAGGTGATCCGAACTACAGGAAACTAAGATGTGCAAATAAACATTTTAACAATTTATGCTTTCACCATTTAGCTCTTTTTTTAGCACACAACTTGCTCATAAAATACTTTGAGCATTAGGTAGTATTTTGAACATAACACACACACACTTCACAAATCCAGCAATATTTAATTTAACCAGATAGAACCCTACTCTGAGCCAAGCAGCAGAAGAGAGAGAATAGAACAGGAGGACCAGCAGAAGAAAATAAAAGGATCAAGACCACAAGTCTACTTGCAAGCAAGTATTGCTGCACGCAAGGATGTAGCAGGTTTTGACTCCTCTCCTCCCTTGATTTCGTACACTGCATTTTGGAGGAATTTCCATACAGCTTCACACTGCTTTGTGTAGTCGATGTCAAAGATATAGAATACCTTGAAACAGACATCTACTGCCTGAAGCAATGTGTTTTGTTCCAACGCCTCCCCATCAAGAATAACGAACGCCTGAGAGGTGTGCCAAATATCGTTTCCCAGGGACAGGACATATGGGTAAGGTCTTGACACCTTCGCCTCATGGAGGTACTCCACCAAGTTTGTTCCAACCTGAGAAAGAAATAAAGAACAAAAGACAAGATAAATTAAACAAAGTAAAAGATTGTGCAAAAGCAAAGAGTAAGCAAGATTTGGCAGTGGCTGATACAATGCATATTCAGAAACAATGTTTTGAATTATTCTTGAGCCCAGGAATAACAGGCAGTCAGGCACATTCTTAACCACTTAAACTGGACCTGGGTTGGCTCTGTACTTTAGACCACTGTTTTCCATCTTCACCAAATCTCTTCGCCAAAAATAGCCGATCTAGCTGCCATGTTTGGCTAATGTCCCCGCCACCCCCCCAAGAATATGGATGCTGGGTTCAAGTGATTAAAAGAATAACATTTCCCTTTAGATATGCAGAGGGACTTACAGGCTTATGATCAATGAAGGCCAACTTAGACTCCTCGATAGTGTACCGGAACACTTTTCGGCCAACCCTGTAGACAGTTGGTGGAAGCAGTGTTGGTAACTGGCTCAGAGCAAGTTCCCCCAAACAATCTGTAGGAAGACAATTTTATAGGTATCAATATGTGGCATGGCATATCTGTGAATTGGTCATTTAGTAGCAAAATAAAGTCTGCTGTACAATATAACAATGTATTACCGGGTGTTAATCCATCAAGCGACGAGATAAGTTTCCCTTCCCGTCTCGCCAGGTGCAGGATCTTGTCTTTAAACAAAGGTAGCCAGGTTTCGAAGAGCTTAGGCGCAGCCTCTCCATGTAGGATCTGAAAGTCCTGTGCAATCTAAATGAAAAATTGAAAAAGAAAATTCAATGTGGCAGCTGACATACTGATAAAAGATTGTTATAAACAATGCATCCACATCATATGTAAACATATACTCCTTCCTAACTTACCATGCCTGGAGTGAATAGATGTGGGAACTCTTGGCGGATCCCTTGAATGGCCCACCCGTTTTCCCTTAAAGACTTGGCCCTGTTTGATAGTTTGCAGAAAGTACAGCAGTACAAGAATGTTAAAAGGATATCACAAAAAGCCCTAAGGGCAGTTGCAGACAGGTGCTCTTTTATGGCAGCAGTTGCAGACAGGTGCTCTTGTATGGCAGTTTTGGAGGGTAAGGAGTTGCACTTTCTTGATGGCTGGTGGTAGGGTGTTCCACATTTTGGTAGCATAATAGTAAAATGCATTCATCCCCATGTTTGTGCCGATTATGGGGGGGGGGGGAGAGAGTAATGGAGCTCCCACTGGTGTTGTGCCCTTTTATTTTGACAGGTACATGGCACTGGTCCCTTGAAAACCAGGCCCATTGCAAGTTGCTGTACTCTGTCCTCCCCTGAGCCATCCCACTATAGCATCATAATGAGCAGGGGTTAGGTCATAGGTGTGAGAGGTCTAGTAGTAGTTTGTTTTGAGAAGTCTGTAGTTCAGATTTGAATGACTTGAGGTGCTACAGTACCATGAGGTGCATGCATAGGCAAAATGACATTGAATGAGTGCTGCAGCTAGTGTCCTCAGTGCATTCCTACTGACCTGTACACTGCTGTATCCTGCATGTATTGCTCCACCTGGTTGAGGGGCTGCGAATTGTGTTTCAGCCATTCTTTACACTGTATGGCTCTTTCTTCCGATATGGTACATTCTATAAAAGTACACATAAGGATATTAACAATCTCAAATTATATGTCTGTATTGCTTAAACAAATTATTCAGTTCCAACGATTACCTGGTATGAATGTCCTACGAGTGCCAGCTTCACTACTTTGTGGTGGTGTCTGCTGCGTGCTCTGTGACCTGGCCGGTTTTCTCATCCTCTTTCTGACGTTCCGAAGCCTCTCTTCGAGGAATCCAGTGGCTGGGCGGCGGTTCCGTCCTGGGGTGAACCAGTATCCCTGTCAAGAAATGAAAGTCTTTGGTGAATAGAGATGAGGCACATTTTGATAGCGTGGCGACAACATGTGGCTGAGCCATCTAGAACAGGGTTTGTCTGTATGTCTGTCTGACAACACCGGGCATCAAACAGCACAGAAGTCCAGTACTCTGGTGCTGGGAGATGAGTTATATTGTGTTCAACTGACTTGTTTTAGCATCAATTCCTCAATAAAATGTTAATTACTTACGAAGCCACTGCTTGAGTCCGACTCGTCCTTCAAGGAGGGAAACCCATGAATCAAAGCTGCAGCCAAGGCCTTTTTTGTCTCACTGGTAGGACTGCAAACACAGAAAAACTAAATTACCAGCAGAGTCAAATTAGATCTTAAGTATTTCTAAAACATGTGTTGCACCCCAGTATAATGGCTGTAGCATATTCTGCAGCTAATAGGCATCCTAATAAATTAAAAACACTACTGAACGTGTGTTTTGGTACATGTGTTGTGCATGTTTATGTTGGTGGTCTAGGTAAATGTCAGACTTGAAAGTAGTGTCCCGTCTTATTCTTTTCCCCTGAAAGAAGATTCATATACCTTTTTCAAACTAACATAACATTCAGCAAAAACAAGAAAAAAAACCCACTATTTTTAATTACCTCTCCAAACTTCTCCATGAGGTGAGACACCAAAATACGGACAAGGCACTTTCTTTGCGAAGGGATGATCACATCCTCATCAAGGCTCCCCAGGATCAGCTTGCCTTCAGTTGAGCCTGTGAGAATCTGGCGGATATCCTGAGAAAATTGCAAGAAGGGACAACATCACAGATATCGTTTATTACTCTTTAGTGTTGATTAAAGAAAAAAGTGAAACCCAAGTCTTAAAAAGTGGAACTTACAAATTGTGGAATTATATGTAGTGTTTGAGGTATCATCGCTGGTACGACAGGTGCCGTTTGGTCCTCCATGGAGGGTGGAGTTGTGGCAGTTGGTTGGACATCAGGACTTGTAGGTGGCACAGCAGGTTCAATCTAAACAGAACCCAGGTTAATGTAACAAACAGTGACAGCCACCTAGAATTGCCGGATGAGCATCAGTAATGTAAATCAGTGTACCACACCAGCGGACTCAGAAGACTGCACACAGTATGCATGGTGTGAGAGATATGCACCACGCCAAAGTTTTGATAAATTCAGAGACCTGTGTAAAGTATGGTTTATATTAACCCCTAAGCAGACACAAAACCACTCAGAAACCCTTCACCCGAGTGAATGAAAAATGCGACAAGTTTGGACCATGCAGATCTGCGGCAAATTGAAAAAGATATAAAACAAACATGTAACTTCTTAACTGACAGTGACTACTACTGTACATCGTCGCCGTCGGGTGGAAACCGTGTATGTCCAAAATTGTTCCTTTTATAATTTTTAACATTTTAAAATTGTGAAATAGCCAATCGACAAGCTCTTGACATTGGGAGCTTGTAGATCTATTTGAACTACTTTTGTACAACACTATGACGAATTAGTACATTTACAAATATAAAAAACATAGTTTAAATATGGAGACACAAGGTTTCTGCCCAACAGCAACGATATGTAGACAGATTAAACAAAAAATACTTACTGTACAATTTATCACATCCATCCCAGTATTTACAGAAACATCCCAGTACTCCATCGCATGATCATCCCTGTAGTCCAAAGGCACCTTTTAAGCAGCATTTATAGCTAACCACTAAACAAATATGGCAGGAAAAAATGGACTTGACGAGTCAAAATGCTATTTACAAAGTGTCATACCTACTGTACACACACTTGGTGGCAGTAAGCTGATTTTCTAAAAAAGTCTATAGCGCAGTGAAATGTATAAACTGTAGGGGTGTAACGGTACACGTACCCGTACCGAAATTATTCGGTACGGGCCCTTCGGTTCGGTACACGTGTGTACCGAAGTGTACCGAACGAATATAACGTTAAACGTAAACAAATTGAGAACGTGAACAACTTCTTGGAAGTAATCTCAGGTGCTGCGTCGCAGCATTCAGAGTAATTTGCTCACATTGGGTTCAACGCGTCATAGAGCGAGCAAGTCATTTCATTGGACGAGAGGCATACTATGAGAGTTGGTCAGAGGGATGCGTTCAATTTAGTCAGTAATTTGAGTAACTGTCGAAAATTAATGGCGAACGCAGATAAAGTTGAGCTCGAAAATCCTCCAGCATCATTGAAGTCTCCGGTTTGGGAACATTTTGGTTTCGCAATTACGTTCAAGGATGACGGACAAAGACAGGTGGACCGAACCAAAGCTGTTTGTCGGCATTGTTCAACTAAAATTGGTTACGTGGCTGGCAATACATCAAACTTGCACTCTTGAAAAGGCATCACCCGAACGTGAATATCACCGGTACCAAAAGAAAAATGACTGAAGTGCAAACCCAACTCCCGCTAGCATTTAAGCCTCCACCAATCGCAAAAAGTTCAGACCGAGCCAAAGCTATGTTGCCATGTTAGCAAAGCGCTACCTGGCTGTTTCTGCTACCTCTGTCCCTAGAGAGGGTGTTCTCCACAGCAGGAGACATTGTTAGTGCCAGCAGATCTGCCCTTTCAGCAAGCAATAGGCGCATTCACACCGCGGTACTTTTCCCATAAAGGTTCATGCGATCTTAGTTCATGAGAACCTTTTTACCCACTCGAAAGTCCCTGCCTGCTAGAGAGCAGGGACTTTCGAGTGGCTCTTTTGTGAGAAAATAGCTATATTTCTGATTGGCTGGGCGGATTACAAACCACGCCCCGTAAAACTCCCAAAAAGTTTTGTGAAGCCGCCATTTTATTATCCTTGCATTAGCATTATTAGCATTAGCATTAGCCCAGCGCAGAAACGCAGAGAGACTAATTTATGGCAACACAAAATAAAACATGGGAGCGGTGGAGATGAGGAGGTGTCGGCGTTCTGGCGATTTACTCGGAAGGCTTCAGTAGAAGCTGCTGGGAGTCCCAGCAGCTTCTACTGAAGCCAGTCCCCAACTCCGGGGACTTCCGGCCGGGGACTTTGGGCGGCAGTATACGCCGTGAACTGGTTTGCGGCCTGCCAGTAAACCCAAAGCAGAAGAAGAAGAAGTGACGTCAGCGGCTTAATTTGCCTAATCCTCCCCCAGGGACTTATTCCGGTGTGAACGCGATCTGTACTTAGTTCATGAGAACTAAAGAGTTCTCATGAACTAAGTTCTCATGAACCTTTGTGGGAAAAGTACTGCGGTGTGAATGCGCCTAAGGTGGACAAGTTCATCTTTCTTTAAAAAAAACATGAAAATACAATGACAAGCAAGTCATAATGTCAAACTGGCTGCTTAGGTGCTAGTACAGTACAGTTCAAATACAGATGATTTCAGTTAATCGAAATGCTGCACCTTAATGTTTATTTTATTATATTTTGTATTTATTTGAGTGAATACATTATCCACAGTTTAATAATAATAAAAAAAAAATATATATATATGTTTTGTTTTGTGTAAAAAAATTCTGCTGTACCGAAAACGTACCGAACCGAACCGTGACCAAAAAACCGAGGTACGTACCGAACCGAAATGTTTGTGAACCGTTACAGCCCTAATAAACTGTCATCAGTCTCGCTGAATGACTTCACTGCATGTAGGGGATGGTGATCAAGCAGCTCTCTCACATCAACAGCTGCCAAAACTTGAGTGGGAATCACACTGTATGCAAAGAAATGCCTATCAAACCATTGTGTTTCCCACTTCTGTACAACAAGTTTTATTGTTGGTGTGTGTGATGTTTGGTCTAGTACTAAAATGGACTTTATGAGACCAAATTGGGGCTCCCTATCTGGGTCATAAGACAGGAATACAGTCATGCCTGCTCGATATGCAGTTCCCTTAAAGGTAACCAAGGCTGGTTCATACAATTCACTGAAAAGGGGAATGCCTGTTAGACCACTTTCGATGTCTTTAACTCCCTCAATGTTGGCCAGAAAGGTAGTGTGCCCTGGACCGACTTCTGTATTGTGGCTCAACACAGTTCCACACAGCAAATTATAGCACTGCGCTATCTGATGGCGAAAGGCCATGGTTTTGCAAATGTTTCGGAAGTTGCATGTTACATGGCTAACCCGTTTAAAAAAGTTGTGTTTCGCTTCGAATCTCATAGCCCAAAACTGAGTCAAGGGTCCGAGCTTTTGAATGGCTCTTGGGTAATGGAGGATGAAGTGGTGTTTTGGCAGCAAATGGTGAAGAGGATAGAGCTGCAGGAAGAGAGAGTGATGCTCTTCAAGGATTTTAGCTAAGTACAGTGTTGCTTCAACAGTAAGAGAAGGAGAGAAGATGAACTCCATACATAACAGTAACAGTAGGAGAAGTTTCCATTCCTTGCTATGCATGGGGACCAGGTCACCCATCATTGTCGGCAGCAACCTAAGTAGGCACCACATTTGAGCTGCTGATTGATGCATGGCGCCTTTAACCTTTTTTAGATCATCCTTACTAATTACAGAAGGTTTGTTACCCTTATCACAAAAGCCGTAGTCAAAGCTTGTGATTCTGTAGTTTAGTTTGTCAAGTGTTAGATGTTTCTGCTCAATCAGCGAAGTCAACACAAGCTTGACTTCATATGGCCCTACGCCTTCCAGTATATCATGCATGATGTCAGGTGCTATGTTGTCGGTTACATGATAGAAAGACAAGTCATTCAAGACACTGTCTCTATTCAGGCCTGTCTGGGAGCGGTCGGCTGTACGCAAATCTGCCTCATGACTATTGACATCACGCAATAGTGCAGGATCTGCCAGCGTCTGAGACCTCCGGGCATCCTTATGTATTCTGCAAAACCGACACATATAATTTCCAGAGAAGCTTTCAATATAGCCAAGCATGGCATTCACGCCCAAATTGTCTCCCACTACCTGGACCACTGTAAACCTAACAACACCTTGAAAGTTGGGGGTATCAACAGTGATGCCATCCCTCTCAAGACACCTGATCTCTTCCACAATAGGGCGCAGCACTGCATCAAGGCCATAGGTCTTAGCGTCATCGGATTTGTACACTGCTAAAAGGAAGTGTGACTGCAAACTTGATAGCAGGTCTGGTGGCAAGCTTTTTAGGGTGAAATATATAAATCCTAACTTGTGAACCCCAGTCTTAGACCCAAGCGGATTGACTGTCTCACAATCATCTTGGTAAATCATAAGTGGGATCGAAACCTCTTTTAATAACAGTGGATGCGTTTTACAAAACTGCCCATCAAATAAATCCTGAAGAGCATCACTCTCTCTCTGCTGCCATTCTTGCATGGCCTGTAAAACCCCAGGAATTTCAAGTAGCTTGGTTAGAAGGCGCTGCAGCGGAATACGCTGATATGTATCACGAACTGAGACTTGTCGCACAGTGCCAGTGGCAGAGGCCCTTTGCTGAACAAAGGATGCCCCCCCAGTGAAAATCTCCTCAACTGGCTGAATGAAGTTTCCTGATTTAGCAAAATACTGCATTTGTTTATAATCTGTATCAAGTCCTTTGAAAGGCTTGGCTAATTCCAAGAACTCCAGCCCAAGCTCTTCTACCTCTGGGCTTTGATCAAGACCAAAATGACGAAATAAAGACATAGTCTTTGATTCTAGTTTGCCGACAATATCGCCAATTAAACTAGAGGTGTGTTGAACCATAAAGTTTAAGTTAGAGAATGTCAAAGAAGGTTTAGACCTCAGATGAGCTAAAAAAAGGGCTACCCGGTTGGTCATGTCATCTTGCCCTAGTTCATCCCATTCATCCTCAACTTCCTCATCTCCCTGTACAGGCTCATTTTCAGCAAGCTGTATGTCAACAGGCTGGGCTGGACCTTCAAGGGGATCATCGAGAGTATCACTTTGGTTTTCATGCTCCTTTAATAGGTGTCTTCTATAAGACCTTATAAAAGAAAATGTTCTACCACAACCAGTTTCACTACATTGGAAATATGTTGATGAATGGTTTACATGATGTACTGCACGTAAATGTTGAAAGAGAGTCTTGGCATCCCCTGGAATTTGCCTTTTGCATTTAAAGCAAATATATGCCATCTGCTCACAAATTTGAACAAATCCTCAGAATTAATATGCGTGTGTGGGGGAGGGGTGTAGCCTCTCACATCTGCAGTGATCTAACTATACTTACAAGTCCTCTAAATTTTTTGAGGAACTTAAGCCTGGGGCCAGCTTTTGGAATCAATTGGCTGATGGTCCCCTCGTCTAAAAGAAGAAAACTCTCCTCGTCAATTCCCTCATCTGAAAAACAAAAAACAAGGACATCTATTTAAACCATGGAGAACAGCAAAAAATAAGAGGCTAATTACATGGAAGCTATTGGAATAAAAATGCATTTTCAGTAACATAAAATACAATGCAGTCAATGCCATTTCAAATAATTCCTTTACCTAGCTATACAGACCATCTGCTTGCTGTGAACGTAAAAAAAAACATGTTCTTACCTTTAAATCTATCAATAACGTCTGTCAACTGCCACTGTGTCAACGTGTCACACACAACATCGTCCATTGATCTGAGACAAAAAACACATAAAGAGCTTAATTAAAACAAAACATAAAATGTACATTTGCATGACTTCAACCTCACTTCTGGGGCTAATTTATTCAGTTGATGAGGCTACTAAAACTGACAAATGTCTGCTTCTCCTATTTATTTATTTATTTGTATTACCTGTTGTATTTAGCACACATGAGCCCCACTTACTATGGTTATTAGCATTGTATTTTATCTGCAGACTTATGGTTATATCAAAGCCTTTATTTTTATATAGAGTGATACACTTTTGTGACTGCTAGAAACAGGTCAACCCACAATAGAGCAAGATTAGTTAACCAACTACGGACAGCAGCCACAGGAACTTTTGCAGTCACAAATTGCTGTGAAAAATTGAGAGACCAATGAAAGTTAAGTTACAGAGAACCTGCTTTTTTTTTACACCAAACCTTATCAGTCCCCTTATCAGACAGAGAGTGCGACTACCGACACTGGCAGAGCGGCATCCGTCACGTAACATTAACTGCAGAGCGAAAACCACAGTGGCAGTCAGCTCCGCATGGCAGCTAGCTCCGCATGGCAGCTAGCTTGGCAGCTACTTGACGTGACGCAGCCGAATAACGGCGCAACATTCCTTTGTAAAAGGGGCTGATATTACTGACATATATAAGCGCCTGGGGTAGCACACTTTCCGTTTAACTTTCCCAGGGTAATGCTACCGTCCTTTAGTTTTCAATCCTGATATCCTATATTTGAACCATCTCCCTAACTGGCAGTTACACAGACTAGCTAGTTAACGACGTTAGCTTTAGCATGTTTGTCGGCTCATTCGGCTTTTTAAGTGAGATAAAAAATAACACTAAATAACAAATTAACTATCAACGTTACCACAATATCGCTCATGGACTAGCAGTTGATGACATTTATTAACAGCTTCACAGTTAGATGACAATGTGTTCTGCTTACCTCCTCCAACTTTCGCCATCGGTCTTTCTTGTCTCAATGATCCTCTCTCGCGATGATGATGGTTAAGTTTACGGTTATGCCCAAATATCGCGAGTGCACACAGGATGCAGGGGAAACCCTTTCCCGCCAGATCGCGGTCAAAATTAAACCATGGCAGAGTTCTCTTAATACATCCATGGAAGTGTCCAAGAGCAGTCAATAATGTAGCATGCCTTATTGTTCAAGCCATGTTTGTTGTTTCACATCTTTACAACCGTGAACATTTGAAAGTAGATTGATTTTTGTCTCTGTTTACATTAGTTGGTATCATAGACTGTGGTTGGTATCCAGTTTATTGGTGGTTATACCGCCACCTTCTGCTCTGGAGTGGGAATCAGATATACCCTAATCCCTTTGTCTCAGTTTATCTCAACATGAATGAATCTAATACATGTGAAATTGTTGCGATTCATGCAAACCAATACCCAATACCATAGGCGGCGCCGGCGCGTGAGGCTCAGGTTTGGAAAGGCTTAATCACTTTTTTTACCTGACGCTGCCCGCCTCCGGCATCTATAGAAAAGAGATCAACTCAGTGTGCAGAGTTTAAATCTCTCAAGTCATATTACAGGATAAAGGAAATACAGTTTAAACTGCCGTATGCAGAGAAGACGCCGACGTGTCGCACTTATCATTCATATTACATCATCAATCAGATCATCGATCATATAATATTATAATATATCATATATTTCCTTATCTGAGTCAGCTTCTCCAGCCATATCTGGCCGTGCAACACTTACAGTGTCACATACTGTATGCAGAAGTATTATTTTAAGCAATACATTATGTTCACGAAACACTCGAGTCAAATGTAATTAAAGTCAGATCTGGTGAGAGAAACCCTGGCTTGATTTACCGAGTTGATAACCAGCGTCGTAGGACCGCTTAGCGAGATCTCGTTTGTTTGTTTGTTACTCAAACATATCCAGGGTATGTTGAACTGGCTTCGTAGTACAGGGCTAGCGGGTGGCTAGCAGCGCTAATGTCAAAGACACAGACATTATACATTAGCCTATATTTGTATTTTACCAGGATGCAGTGACACAAATATTTGGGAAGCCTACAGCACCCGCCGCCCCTGCCCAATACCATATAAATAACCCAGAATGAGTTAAACATTTCATAACCAAATGGTTGGGTAGACAAAAATATTTTGACCCAGTACTTGGGTTGCACAAAAATAACCCAATACCATATTAATAACCCAGAATGGGTTAAACATTTCATAACCCCATGGTTGGGTAGATGAAATAACCCACTGTTTTTTAGAGTGTAGGCTTAGTTTGTCGGGGGACATCTTACTTCTTCCTTCTCTCTGTCTATACCTGTGTACTCTCATGTTCCGATTAACCCAGCTTCCCCAAATGTCTTTCTTTTTGGTGTCTATATACGCTGAGATCCGGAGTCATGGATGATCCTGCGGTCCTGTGTCCTGCATCTCGAGCCCTGGATCTTGAGTCGTGGCTGTGGTCCTGGATAATAGGTCCTGGATGGATATCCTCGTGGATTCATCTTCCTATTATACACACATGCATTTCCAAACATTTGGACTACCTATGTTGCAAATGTATTATCTTTTCAATTTACACACGGCATCTATTGCACGTCTGTCCGTCCTGGGAGAGGGATCCCTCCTCTGTTGCTCTCCCTGAGGTTTCTCCCATTTTTCTCTTTAAAACTGTGGGTTTTCTTCTGAAGTTTTTCCTTGTACGATGTGAGGGTCTAAGGACAGAGGGTGTTGTATTGTCATACTGATATTTTGTACAAACTGTAAAGTCCACTGAGACAAATGTAACATTTGAGATATTGGGCTATATAAATAAACATTGATTGATTGATTGAGTTGTTTGGATAATCCCTTAGTGAATCTGCCGTTGTTTCAAAAACGCTTAAGGCCACACTGATATTCACATTTTGGAACCTGCTTTCTAGGTGTTGTATCAACCCACTGATATGAGCAGAAGGTAGAGCAGATTGTGAGATTTAAACTGAAAGTCAAGTTGCTCACAATGGGCAAGCATGGAATGGATCCATATCAGGATGTGTGTGAATGGTTGAAATGACTATGTATTATTTTCGCTGCAATGCAACCTCCAATTAGCAGAAAACAAAGTTAAATCATCCACACAAAAAACGCATACGTTGAAAGAAAATGCATTATGAGAAATCTTAAGAAATGTGTACTCATTCATATACAATTATAACACTGCCTCTTCTTCTGTCTGAAATAATATGTTTACTTTACTCTAGCGATTGCAGGGATATCATTGAAATGAATTGATATTGCTCCTAAATCCATTTTGAATATTGATTTTGAAAGTTAAATAGGCAAGTTGCAGCAATATTAACAACTTTTAAAGGATATTTTAACAGAAAACCGAGAGATATATAAAGATAATTGCAAGGCAGTCAATGTTAAGTGCACAAAGGTTTTCTACAATGCCGAAAAAAATATCGTCTGAGAGGTCTTTCTTCCTCTAACAATGGCCAATGTGACAATGAAAATGTCTGCTTTTTGTCAGGCTAGACATAAAAAATCTAAGGTCTCTTTACGTTACAATACTGAAATTATCACTCCGGCACTCTCCATCAGTGTCAAACGTCTTGTTTCTATGGCAAGCTTCAGTGTGGAAAATGTTTTTCACAAAACATGCATTTGAATTTTTACATTTTGCACATTTCGGAAGATGTTTGAGTACAGATTTCAATTAAAGCTCTTCTGAGGACTGTTTTCGGGGGACAAAAAAACGTAATCTGTTATACTCTCTCCTCGCTTTAAACTGTCTTTGAGCACAACCCCATTGTTAGCAATTATGTATGGGACTCACTGATGGAGAGTCATTGCTTTTCGAAAACACTGTAGAATCATCTTGTCTGGAAATTAAGCAGGCACTCTTGGTTTCAATAAGGCATTTATTTCAATTGTACATATAGAAGGAGAAGCTGTGCAACTGCTTTGCTTGAATTTTTCTCTGATTGAATGTGAAACCAGATGGGAAGCACTGAGAGAGAAAAAGAAGATCGACAAAATGGCTCATGGTGCATGGCATCCAAAGTGAGTTGGACAAATGAATTACAGATGAATACCATGTGCAAACGAATGCAAGAGCGTTTCAGTCGTTTTAGAGTCATCAAAGGGGCCACGCATGAGTGTCAGTGACCTTGTAGAGAGGGAATCTGAAAAATGTATTTTATTCAGAAACGGTTAAAATCCCACAAAAGTGTTTTTTTCTACACAACAGTTATTTTTTGTTTCCCAATAGGCCAGCATATCTAGGAAATTCTACCAAAAAATGTCCTCAAAAGTACTCCGTAGAAGAAAGGCTGCAAATTAACAAGCACATGCGTCTTCGTCCTGCGGGATTTGTAGCATTATTCACTAAATCCTGGATTATGATATTTCACAGACAGCAAGAACCGCACATCCTTAACTCGAATAGAAAGCTAATTTCAAATGAAAAAGGTGAGAGCAAGCTTCGGATGAATAACGACCAAAACCCATCTCCCTCAAAACTGAGAATTTTAGCCTTTCTTTCCTTGTTTGTGTGACAAGTGAGTCCACTTTCTTGTTGCTAATACCCAATTAGGGAGATGATTATTGATTGAGGTGCTGAAAGTTGACTGCTAATCTCCCTTCGCTCAGGTAATCAATAGGTGAGTGTAATGAGCAACCTGGTTTTTCAGTGCTAATAAACAGAATTAGATTTAGCCCGGTTACAAATTCATAATACGATTTGTGGAGGATTTGAGGTTCAGCTATGTCAGTATATTTCATTTAACGGGCAAAAATACACGCTTTTGTTTCTTTTATACCGAAAATAACATTATAGCACATCAGAAAAAAAGTGCACTAACTTCTTGGAAAAGCCTTTGTTCTGTCGCTTAAAAATATCCCATACATCCATAAAGCAACCTCTGAAGTTTCAGTCATTTGCTTATATTAAAATTGTTAAGACCCTTGGGTGCGTATAAACAAACAGTGATTAAGAGCGAAGGTAAGCTAATGCCACCGATAGCTACAGAACAGCATGATTAGGGCTAATTACTTCCAGAAGGCAACACCCCTCCCCCCCTCCCCTATTTGTTTTACCAACTTTGGTATGATGAAAGTGGCTCATGAATGAATGACTTGGTGTTTGATTGTTTAGCTGCCCTTGGTGGGTCAGCAACAAAACAGTGCAAATGCGGGGCCATTATCGTAAAAAGGAATTTGCTCTTCAAGGACGATACAATTGTTCTTGACTTGCGGGTCCTACGCCATTCTTGCCTTGATTAGAGTTATCACCTCATCGACGCATCTCTCAGTTGCCTTTTCTACTTCATTTCTTTATACCAGTCTTTGAGTGTCTTGTAAAAATAAACTTCACATACAACCTAGACACATCACCTGTTTTAGTGTGGAGAAACATTTCATTGTTCGCCTCCTGGTTGTCACTTTCCACTGAAAGGATGCAACACTGCCATGATGCATGTCTCTGTGGGCCCAGTGTTGTTTTCAGACAGTGTTTCAAAATGTAGGAAAACTTAAGGAAACATGACACCTACCTCAGCACAATACGTCTCAGACTTTTGGGCTTCCAAACTTATTGTAAAATACAGAAAGGTGTGACAGTTGCAAATGTAAAAATAAATCTGCTCCATTTCTCCATTTATAAATTAAGCCAAAGAAGCCTTTAAATGATAACATTATATCATGAGCAACATTAACACAATAGATAATTAAGCAGACTTTTCCCATTGGAATTGGTGGAGACCAACAAAGAGATAAAAGTAGAGTGTACCTTTTTTAGGTTACCTAATCATCAAATAAATAATAACATTGCCAAAATCTACTGGATGTGTAAATATGCACCTATTGGCACACATTTTTATTATGTCAACTGACTTTCTATCGGTGTTGTCTGAAGCTTATTGCACAAATCTTTGTTGCACATATTTTTAGAGCTTTAAATATTGTTGCTTTCTTCTGCGCAGGGATACGATAACATAGTTCCCAGAATGAAACTGCTTTGAACGAGGTCGGTTAATTTTCTTGACTTACAGTATCAGTTCAGGATTTTTTAAAAAGACATTGCTGTTGAGTTTTTCCTACATGTATTATTTGTAGTCCTTTTGAGCTTCGCATGCAAAGCGCCTTCTAGTTCCAGAATAGGGCAGACAACTCCAAGAAACTCGCACCAAAACATTTAGACCAGCGGTTCCCAACCTTTGGGCCCACTAGGGGGCCGCGAAGGCATTGCAAGTGGGCCGCCAAATAATTTGCAAAACATTATGATTTGTGTAAACATTTCATTTTTAAGATTTTTTTTTATTTGAACCTCTTTTCCTTTCTCTTTCTTGATCCTCCTTAGCAACGGTCATTATAGTTCTTGACAGCGGTCTGTACTACTGGATTAACGTGTCACTAGGCCTGTCACGATAATTAATTGTGTACAGTTGGACGATACATTTTCCCGGAAATTATTGCGATAAACGATAATATTGTCAGTACCGTTGTAAGACCATTTTAGACCACTGACATAATGATAATATATAATAATAATTCAAGTATATCCTTTTTTATTGAA